CTGGCAGGGCTGTTGGGATACTGTCACTCTCTTCCCCTCGCTCATGAACTCAAGGGACTTACAAATAAAAATAAACATTTAACTTAAAAAATCCTGCTCCAAACCTCTTTGCATTTAGAACGGAGTCACCGGGAGGCTTGCTTCAGGCTGACTGGGTATCCACACCTTTAACGCCATTCCCCAAAGCTGTATCTTGGGCCTAGGTGATCACAGTACCGTTTTTCCTCGGCTTAGAAAACTAGTGTTTGGGGCCGGCGGGTGGCGCTGTGATGGGTGCGGCTGGATCCCACATGGCCAGTGCCACAGTTCAAGTCCTGGACCATGCACCTTGAAAAGCACACCAGCGTGTGTGTGTGAGTGTTCAAAACCCCAATAGGATTTGGGGGAAGGGACTCTGGCATGGCCAGCTTCCTGCAGGATGCTTTCTCACTTTCTCTGTCTCCCTCTGGCGAGTGCATGTACCCTATAGCAAAAATAAAAAAAAGAAACAAACAAAAAGAACTAGTGTTTGCAGAGCCTGCAGCCTCTTTGGGGTCAACTCACGGGCCTCCTGCCCCCACCAAAGGAAGCCATGCACTCTTCCCATCCCAGGGCAGCTCGAATCCAGGACGCATCCCCTGGGAAACGCCCTGTACCCGTTTTATTCATTTTCCCCAAAAACTCGGTGAGGACCCAAGATGCCCCCATTTAATCAAGGAGGAAACCAGCTCAGAGAGGCCTCCTTTCCAGGCTGATGTTGTAGCCCATAAATGGCAGGGCTGAAATTTGGACGTGGCTGTCTCCCAGGGTAACTGGTCCCAACTCTCCCAGCTCCGTGCTATGGCTGTCCCTGGGCTGCTTTCAGTTCCTTGAACGAACCATTCCTGACACCCTCACCTCTCTGCCTGACCTTCTCCCCAGGCCTCGGATACCCTGTGCATTCTCGGTCTGGTCACCACCTGCATCCTCCAAGACTCGGTCCAGATGTGTGGTTCCCAGGCAGCCCGCTCTGTGCCAGGCTGTGTACCCGCCAGCCCACAGGGCCACCAGGCCCGTACGAGGGTGCCACGCATCACACTGTCCGCTCCCTTCATGAGGATGAGAGCTGGATGGAGGCCAAGCCTGTGAGGATTCTGTTTTCCTGGGCCTACGACACTTCCTGTAGCTAGGCGTCACCAGTGGTTTGAATAAACGATCGGGGCAAATCATCTCTGCTTTTCCCTTCTCTTATTACAACTGGAACAAGGTCAAAGGACCATTAAGTTTTATCCGTCACAAAATGGAACCTATTCTTCGGAGTAAGAGTGGACAAAAACCCCTAAGCGGGAAATCTCAGGAGGTAAAAAGGAGTTGGTTTCAGGGTTCTCCTTTGACTTCTTTGATCTGGCGAGCCAGTCGGCCCAGGAATTGTCCACCTCATTCCCTTCCCACTTTCCCGGGCTTTTAAACACTTCTCCCTTCGGCCTCTTCTGTCCCTGGGAAGTTCCAGATCTAGGCCATACCTATTTATAGGCCTCTTCCCGGACACAGGCCTGGCGCTCGCAACGGGCTCTCGGTACTTTGGGGTAACACGTCCTGGGCTGGTGAGCACACCAAACGGCAGCAGCCCCCAAGCTGCAAGAAGCTGAAGGCTGGAGTGAACCCATCTGCTCCTGTGGGTGCCGAAGCCAAGGGCTTCGAACAAGCCCACGTTATGCTCTGGAGTCGGCGCCATGGCTTGGAATCCTCGCAGTACCTGTGAGAACCGAGCAAGCTTGTAGCCAGGCCTGCTGCACAAGCCTCCCCTCGCCTCACAGAGGCCTTTATCCGGCCAATCACTGCAGAAGGTAAACAGGGCCAGCCCTGGTCAAAGCTGCAGCTAGTCGGTCTGCGGAGATCTCGAAAACTGCTCCCTGGTAGAGGCCCTCAGTCCTGCCCTCCAGAGAGCAGGGCCTCATCAGACAGGCGTTCTTCCTGTGGTATATGGGTGCGTCCTGCTCGGCCTGGGAAGCTGGCATCTGATGCTTATCTCGAAAGGAGACCTGTGAAGTACTCGGCGCCATGCAGGCGCACTGAAGTCTCCTGCCAGCAGAGACCCGGCGGGGTGAGTTTGCTACGATGCTGGATGGCATGCCAGCTATGTGCCAGCCCTGTACAGGGAATACACCCCTTATGTGAATACACTCTCACCAAACCCCTTCTGTAAACTAAGGGGTGGGAATCACTACCCTGCTTCTTCTGTTGTTGTTTTTTGTTTCTTTTCTTTTTTTAACTTTTGCCAGAGGGTATGTTGTGCTCACGGTGGAAGCGGGGAGGGCCCTCCTCTCTCTCTCCCACCTTTCGGGAATTTGGGCGTGCACACACACACATCTGGCATCTCTTCAAAGCCTCGGGTCCAGGACTCAAACCCCTTCGCTGGCCTTGTGGGATCCAGCTGTCTTAAACACCAGGCCACCTGCTGGCCCCACTACCCCACTTTTGATGGGAAACAGGGGTTCAGTAACTTGCCAAGGTCACAGAGCTGTAGCCTGACTCCAAAGCCTAGCCTACCTCAGAAGGCCACTTGGGCCTTAGCGCAGTGGCTAAAGGCTCTTAGACCTCCCGTAGCAGGATGGCTAGCCTCCTTCCTCAGCGTAAGGAAGGACGGCCTCCGCGTCCTGCTGCATGCTCAGGTGCCACGGGGCAACCGTACAGGGGCTTCTCTCTCCGGGTGTCTGCTCCACAGCAGGGCCGGCCCTCTCCTCCCACAGCTGATTCCACTCACAGCTAATACCTGGCTCCAAGCACGTTATTTGCTTTTTTCTACTCCAGTTCTAGGGAATTTTATCCGAAGGTGTGGCAGTTCTCTTTCAAAAGTTTCCACTGATCACCCTCACGGAATTCTCTACAAGCAAATGCACATGTGAGAACCAGGTCCAGCTTTCTCCTCCTAATGTAATGCTCTAGAGCAGAGCTGCCGGACGTCCACGTAACTGACACTGCGGCCCGACGACTACGGGTGTGTGTGTAGCGGGGGGCTGCCCATGCACAACAGACGGTCAGCGTCGGTCACCTGGCCTCTAGCCGCTCACTAGATGCCAGACGGATC